GAGAGAGAGATAGAGAATATATGAACAATTGTGAACAAAACTTCTCTAAAATGTCTAAAATTCTTTACATTTTTAAAATATACAAAAAATGATTAAGAAAAAAATATTTAAAAAATAAGAATAAAAGTGAACATACAACTGTTCTTCCAGCTCTCATATTTTTAGTTTGTGTCCAATGAAATTTGATATCAGCAGTAACTGAGGTCTGATGTCCGTCTGTGCCTGTGTGTGCAGCGCATATGGGATGAGCTGGACCAGTGGCATACTCGGATAGCTGAGCTGGAGGCTGAGGTGCAGGATCTGGCTGAGCAGAAGCCTGAGAGAGCACACATTCTCATGGACCAGCTCACGGAGCCTCTGCAGCACTACCAGACCACAGCCAAACAGGCCGAGCAAAGGACCGCCCTCATCAGCAAAGTCAGATGATTTCACGACATAAGCCAACACATAATGCCACTGATAGCAAACTTTGACTGATTACATCTTTGTGTCTTGGTCCCTTCAGATCCCTGCCTGTCTGCAGGACTATGAGGGTTTACTCAATAGCTCCAACTGCTGGTTGAGAGAGGCTCAGTCCTGGCTGGTCGCACCCAGAACCTACACCACTGCGAAATGCATCCACTGTCATGCCAACTCCCTCAAGGTCAGGTCAAAACCTCAATTTATAGACATTTTGCCTTTATGCAGTAACTTGTTACCAGCTCTTTTGATGTGTCTGTAGATGATGCTGGATGAATCGGAGGGATACAGGGCAGCTCTGGAGGCCTTCCTGCCTGCTCTGCAGGAGATCACTCCAGTGTGTGACACCACCCCTCAACAACAACATCTCCAACTGTGTGTACAAAACATCACACTCATGCAGCAAAGCGTTCTGGACCCTCTCTCCCACCTTCAGCACCTAGCAGCTGTAAGAAATATCATTAAATTCAAAAAATGTTTAAGAAATTGTTTTTAATGTTATGTTCTCTATTGTCTAAAGATTTGCAGTGTCAAAGCTTGTCCCAATACCGAGTTTTTAGTTGTATCGGTTCCAGTGAAATTTCGTGATTCCTGATACCAGTTTCTGTTGAACACAGTGGTTTTATAGAAAATATATTAACATAAATATTAAGACATTAAATTAAAACAGTAGTGCATAGCCTTCAAGTATTTCACAGTTAGGAAAACTTTTTTGTGAACGTAATTATTTACGCTAATGAATAAATATGAATTAAGTAAAGGATGTCTGACTTTTTCAGATAGGTTTTAGTAAAACCAAATGTTCAAAAAGACTTTCAAAAATCAAGTTTTTGAAAAATATCTGGTATTTCAACAAATATATATATTTTTTTCTGTTTATATTTACATAAAATGTGCAATACTGTTCAAAAGTTGGGGGTCGGTAAGAATTTTTTATATTTGTGAAAGAATATAATATACTCACCAAGGCTGCATTTATTTGATCAAAAATATAGTTAAAAACAGTGTTATTGTGAAATTAAATTGTATTACATTATTATGTATTATTTTTGTGAAATAATAAAATAATATTAAAATTTAAAAATCTTAATTTATTCTTGTGATGTAAAGCTGAATTTTTAGCAGTCATTATTCCAGTCTTCAGTGTCACATGATCCTTCATGATCCACATGATCATGCTGATTTCATGATCAAGAAATAAACTTATTATCAGTGTTGAAAACAGTTGTTCTACTTAATAATTGTAGGTTTCTTTTATGAGTTCAGAAAAATGGGATCTTTCTGAAACTGAACTGAAATCTGAAATGTTTTTTAATCTTCACTTTTGATCAATTCAGTGCATCCTTGCTAAATAAAAGTATTTAAAAAAAAAAACAAAAAAAAAAAGTCTTACTGCAACTGATTTGTAACTGACTTTGTTTGTATTAATACATCACAAATATTGGCAATTTGGGATGCTAGAAAAACTGGTGTCATAACACAAAAAAAAGTATTGGACCTTTTGTCATCCCTAACAGTGTATACTTAATTTGTAGGGTTTTATGAGATTCCATTACTGGAGTTACTTATTAGTTTATGATACTGGGATGAAATATCTTAATTATGTTGCCTATATTTTAATTGGAATTCACTTATAACTTTTGTTTAGGAGATGGATGCCATTGAAGCAGAGGTAAAGACAATGGAGAAAAATATAACTAAGATCAGAACAATCCTTTCAGCCACTGACACAGAGAACATTTTTCCTGAGGAACATCTCGAGAACATACAGGTACTGTACATCATGTCTCACTAATCCTCTGTTTGTACTGTAAACATTTACAGTACCTCTCTCTCCTGTCCTCTGTAACAGGTCATTCTGGATAATGTCCAGTCCATGAAGAGGACCATTGATGAGATTGAGAGCTGCAGGCCAGGCCTAGGGCTTCCTGCTGGGGCAGAGCAAACTCTCACAGCTTTCCATCGGGCTCAAGAGCTCCTGCAGCCCATCCAGGAGCTACAGCAGCTCAGTGTGGAGCGGAGCACAGCGTTGAGGGTCTGTCGCTCTAATAGTTTGTTTGTGTTTACCAAGAGTCAGTGGTTTCCTGTTTGCTGAGCTGGAGTGCGTTTTAACTTTAGTTCATGATAAGCAGATTTCAGTAGTTGTTTTTCACACAGCATTAAAATGTGAAACTTTTACAACTTAAATATTTGCAAAGGAAGATGAAGTATATATTTTTTAAAGGTGCAGAGAGTAATTTTTGTTCATGTTGAGTTGGCAAATTTAGCAGTCACCTCTCACCTACAGGAGTGTGTTCATTGATAGTGATTGCTACATATAAAATACATAGAACTTCCATAACTGCTTACCTTTCTATTCCTGAGGTGTGAATGGCATTTTTTAAAAGTTCAGCTATTTCTTGTAGTCTTTATATTAATAATATGAGACCCTAAGAACTTCATAAACAATAATTATACAAGACTTTTAATTTTTAAAATGGCATTTTTTAAATTAAATGTTATGTCACATTGCATGGCAATGCTTGAAATGGCAATATTAGATGATAGATAACTTTTACATGAATTATAGTTGTCATAATAAAAGACAGCTATCCAGTTTCAGTGCAGCCATCTCCTTAATAAACAAAAAAATATCAAAAACAAGCTTTGAAACAATCTTGATGAATAGGATTTCTTCAACTCATCCATTTACAATATTTTCAGCATCAAATAAAGAGATTTGTAATGCAATATTTCAAATTACTTTTGGTCTAGTTAGTTCTAGTTAGAAAATATTAGTTCATTTCATGAAAGTGCAGTACATTTGTAGTGTTTTTAGTGACCGTGACCAGTGTGTGACCTCTCCTCTTCGCTTTCATGTCTGTGGGAATGAGAGGAGGAGAAAATCCCTGCATTTAAAGCCAACTCACAAAAGGGATGTGTGGGAAGCTTGAATTTTCTGATTGCGCTTAGAAAAAAAAGTGCTTTAAAACTTCAATATGGTGCGGCAGTAAATCATTACAGGCACAGCTTTATTGTCAAAGGCAGTAGTATCTAGTTAAGACACTCTCATGGATTTTCTCATGATCTCTATCATGTGACCTTGTAACAGTGACTTTGGTTTGCCCAAGTTTTACAACTTGATGAAACTATGTATTTTTCCGATTTTCTTTTCAGGCCTCTATTGGACAGCCAGCTGAAATGATTCTCCCTTCAGACCAAACCACAGAATTCACGATGCCACATCTTTACACTGGAGATGTGAGGGTAAGGTCCATCAACTCAATCAAAAATATACCTCAAAATTATGTCTACTGTAACTCAGAAGACATCTAAGATGAGGATGAGTCAGTTTTAGGACTAAATAAGACTAAATCAGCTCATTAGTTCTGTCACTATAAAAACCTACAGTAAAGAATAATATGTCGTTGCATAACCCTGGTGCTGCTTCTGGCTTCGCTACCGTTCGGATGTTCTTGCTTACTGCTCTGCGCTTTGCTCCCTATTTCTGTACTTTTCTCAGATTTTTCTAAGATTTTTACTTCAGCAGATCAACACAGTGCTCAAACAACACATTTTTGGCACAAACACTAAAACTAAAAACTCTTTGGGACTGGAATAATACCACGAAAAAGAAGACTTTGCCTCCCACTGCCAGCAGCTTACATTCCGGAGAAGGGAAAACACAGCTGCCCACATTCAAACAGAAGAGAAAGAAAATGCCTCCTGTTGAATCTACTTGGTGCATGAACTGCTGCAAACTTCTACAAAGGATTGCGGTTCTTGAAACAAAGTTACTTGCTGGACTTCCAATACAGGCAGAACACTCAGCAGACCGTCGTCACGGACCCCCTCAGCATACAGCCGGTAAGTCCCGTGAATCTAGTGAATCTCAACAGTTTATGCCAAGTGTAGAGGAACAAGCCGAAACTGACTGTCACGCTAATCAATGGACAAACGGAGCGAGACCCAAAGGCAGTAGAGACATCAGATTGTCACGAGTTTCTCATATTGCTGCCGTAGCATCCTCTACCACAGATTCGGTTATGACAAGGCTTGTGAATACTGGTATTCTACCACCCCCTATACATCTTGAGAACAGATTTGAAGCATTAATGAATGCGGGTGAGGAATCCCCAAATGTGATTAAACATGGATTGGATCAGCCAAGAAGACAATTAGACAGCTGCAGCTCATCTAGAACACTGCTGCCAGAATTCTGACAAGAACCAGAAAATCTAAGCATATCACAGCAGTCTTCAGGTCCTTACACTGGCTTCCAGTTATATTTAGGATTGATTTCAAAGTTCTTTTACTCGTTTATAAATCACTCAATGGCCTAGGACCTAAATACATAGCAGATATGTTCACTGAATATAAACCTAAC